AAACTCCACAAGGTTACTCCTAGAGCTGATAAACACCTTCAGCAATGTGGCAGGATACAAGGTAAACTCAAAAAAATCAGTGGCCCTATTATATACAGATGATGAAGTAACTGAGAAAGAAATCAGAGAAACATCACCCTTTACAATAGCCAAAACAGCATCAAATATCTGGGGATAATGTTAACCAAGGAAGTGAAAGACCTGCATATCAAGAACTTTGTGTCTTTAAAGAAAGAAATCAAAGATAGCAGAAAATGGAAAGATCTCCCATGCTCTTGGATTGGTAGGATCAACATAATAAAAATGGCAATTTTGCCAAAAGCAGTCTACAGATTCATTGCAACCCCTATCAAAATTCCATTACATTTCTTCAAGGACCTAGAAAGAACATTAATCAACTTTATATGGAAAAACAAAAGGCCCAGGAGAGCTAAAACATCCCTATACAATAAAGGAACTTCAGGAGGCATCACCATACCTGACTTCAAGCTCTATTATAGAGCTATAGTCCTGAAAACAGCTTGGAATTGGCACAAAAATAGGCAGGTAGACCAATGGAACCGAATCGAAAGCTCTAATTTTAACCCACACACCTATGAACACTTGATTTTTGACAAAGAAGCTAAAACTGTACAATGGAAAAAAGAAAGCATCTTCAACAAATGGTGCTGGCATAACTGGGTACTGGTATGCAGAAGACTACAGATAGATCCATGTTTATCGCCTTGTACAAAACTTAAGTCCAAATGGATCAAAGATCTCAACATAAATCCAGCCACACTGAAACTTTTAGAAGAGAAAGTGGGAGATACTCTTCAACGAGTTGGTACAGGAGACCACTTCCTAAACATAACACCAGTGGCACAGGCACTGAGATCGACAATTAACAAATGGGACCTTCTGAAACTAAAAAGCTTCTGTAAGGCAAAGGACACAGTCAAAAAGACAAAAAGGCAGGCCACAGAATGGGAAAAGATATTCACTAACCCTACATCTGACAGAGGGCTAATCTCCAAAATTTACAAAGAACTCAAGAAACAAGTCTCCAAAACACCAAAGGATCCAATTAAAAGGTGGGGTACAGAGCCAAATAGAGAATTCTCAGTAGAGGAGGCTAAAATGGCCAAGGGACACTTAAGAAAGTGCTCAACATCCTTAGCCATCAGGGAAATGCAAATCAAAACAACTCTGAGATACCATCTTACTCCTGTCAGAATGGCTAAAATCAAAAACACCGAAGACAATTTATGCTGGAGAGGATGTGGAGAGAGAGGAACACTCCTCCAGTGCTGGTGGGAGTGCCGACTCATACAGCTTCTTTGGAAAGCAGTATGGAGATTCCTCAGGAAAATGGGAATTAATATACCACTAGACCCAGCAATTCCACTCTTAGGCATATATCCAAATGAGGCAAGTTCATACAACAAGGGCATCTGCTCCACTATGTTCATAGCAGCATTATTTGTAATAGCCAGAACCTGGAAGCAACCTAGATGCCCCTCAACTGAAGAGTGGATAGAGAAAATGTGGTACATTTACACAATGGAGTATTACTTAGCAGAAAAAAACAATGGAATCTTGAAATTCGCAGGGAAATGGATAGCACTGGAAGAAACCATCCTGAGTGAGGTAACCCAGTCGCAAAAAGACAAACATGGTATGTACTCACTCATATATGGATTTTAGATATGGATCAGGAGAGTGCCAGTCTGCACTTCCACTGATAGAGAGTCTGGGAAACAGGAAAGAACCTAAAAGATATGCATATATGCATAGTACCCAAGAGAAGAGGATGGAGATAAGATCCCCTGAATGGATGGGGAACACGGCGAGGGGTGGGGGAGGAGTGGGACCTGGGAAGAAGAGAGGGGGGTGAAGAGGAAGAGAGTTGGTCATGGGGGAATAGGAAGTTGAGGGAGTGGGGGTAGAATAGGGGGAAGAAGGAATCATAGGATCAAATACAGATCAGGCACCAGAGCGACCTCGAGTGATCTAAACGGATAACACCAATTGGCAAGCTAAGCAATAGTGGAGAGACCACCTCGAATGCCCATTCCTGATAATGAACTTGAAGCCTATAACCATACGGGAGCCTTCATCCTGTGACTGATGGAAGCAGAGGCAAACACACAATTAATCACTGAACTGAACCCAAGGAACCCAGTGACAGAGAGAGAGGAGTGATGAGCAAATTGGCAAAGAATGGGCTGGAAAAACCAGCAGAGACAGCTGATCTGAACAGGGGAGAGCTCTTGGACCCCAGACTGACAGTGGGGAGGCCAGCATGGGCCTGATCTGGACCCGCCAAATGTGAGTGTCAGCGAGAAGGCCTGGGCAACCTATGGGGCCCTGAGCTGTGGATCAGTGTCTATCCCTGGTATACAAACAGTCTTCGTGTACCTATAGCACAAAGAGGGATGCTCTCTCAGCCTGGACTCTTAGGGGGAGTGCCTGGACCCTACCCAGAGTAAAATGACAGACTCTAGATATCCCCTATGTGGAAGAATTTGGCAATAGGGTGGGAGGGTGGTGGGGAAGGGGAGTGCGGGAGGAGGGGAGGGAGAGGGAACTGGGATTGACATGTAAAACAAGCTATTTAAAATTAAAATAAAAATGATATAAAAAAACAAAACAAAACAAACAAACAAACAAAAAAAGAATATCAGTTAAGGTCCAGGAAATAAAGGGACAAGACAGAATCAGTACCTTCATTGCTATACCACCAGTTTTGGACCTTGCTAATTTAAAGGGTTTAATACTAAGTAAGAACCCTCCTATTAAAGCATCTTGAGGTAGACAGTCCCTTCTAATGGGAAGCAGAGCTTTCAGGAGCCAAATGTAGCAGATACAGAGTGGTGTAAGTAATGGACAGACTTCAGAGGCTTTCCTAAGTAATGGACAGACTTCAGAGGCTTTCCTCATTTCCAGGGTTGGCAACTCTAGTCCTAGGTGCCTGGTACCCGATGCATGGCTGATTTGCATTTTACATGAAGATAGAGTTAAGTTTCAGAAAGGTGATTTGACTGTTGGATAGTGGACAGGCTGAATTAGAGTAGAATTTTCTTATTTGCTTTTACTGCCCTACTCTTCATCTTTGATGATGAGAATCAATAGGTTTAGAAACTTCTCTGCCTTGGGAAACTTCATGATACCTGGTGACATGGGCAAAGCAGGGGACACAAAGAGATAGGACTGTGGGGACTTTTTTTTAAAATTGAAAATTGGAGGGATGTTCTCTAAAATAGCACAGTGCTGACGTCAGGGATATCAGTGTCCATAGCAACAAGTGAAGGTGGTTTGGTTATGCCAAAATCAGGTAACGGCTTTAAAAGTATTTGCGCCAGTGTACATGGCATATTTAAGACTGTGTTCTGAGCTGTGAATCTGAATTTGTTCTAACTGACTTGAGCCTGTTTTCTAATGTTCCCTGGGTATTTAGGTGACATGTAATCATTAAGAGCTTCCTGGTTCAAAGTTTGCAGATTGGGAACCTCAGACTTCTCTCCATAGCTACAGTGAGATTTGGGAGGAAACCATAAACTGTTTGTAGTAACTTGTGTTTTTTGTAGCGTTCAGTAAAGAGTCATTTTGGGTGAGTATATCTGGTAATGTGCTTTACTAAACTTTCATGGTTCCTCTACCTAAAAACTTACCATTTATTTCCTAAGGAATACAATGCACATGTGTGAAACACACACACACACACACACACACACACACACACACACATCTCTAAGAAGAAATTGGAGCCAGACTATCATTTCACAAATCTTCCTGAAATTGATGGGACTATACATAATTCCTGGAAGAGAGACAGAACAGAGTATTCGGGGGACGGAGACCATAAGGCACAGAAAGAAATGTGTGTATTTAAGTGGTCAGTGACCGGGATGAAAGCTATGTGGGGCATATCCTGAAACAAACAGAAGGTCCTTGAATACTTCAAAGAGACTAGTATCTTGAAGAACTGTCTCATAATCAGAAACAAAAATATTTAATTGGGAATTCCTTTTATGTTTCCCCTCCCTAGTTTTCTTTTCTGTATTTTTCAACCCATTTTTCCTTTTGTTAAAATCAGCTGGCCTCAGACTAGAAGTCCTCTTGCCTCGGCCTACCCTGTGCTAAAATCCCAGGCATACACAACCACACCTGGCTCTTACATGAGTCTTCATTTACTTGAAAACTTTAGAGAAAGGAGAAAAAAAGGTGAGGTTGAGAGGAACAAATAATAAAAATTGAAGCTAGTTCTAATATATATCAGTTTGCATTCAATTTTTCATTATTTTTGGATGTATAAAAAAACAATGAAAAGCAATGAACACACAGCTAGTTTCAGCTTTGCACTGGCAGTAAGAAAAAACACGCAAGATTGTTTCTTCTTGCAATACCCAGGCCTGTGGGCTGTCCTTGGCACTTGGAAACATTCTTGCACATTAACTTCAGGAAGACTTCTAGGAGAAAGCTACATTAGAAAGTAGCTGAAAATAATTTTTCAGTCTCAGCTTCCTTGGCTTGACAGTAAAACGACCACAAGTCCAATAACTGAGTCAAAAAAAAAATCAATAAAAACCCAGGAGGTTCTAGTGTCTTTAATTTTTGCATTCGTCTTTATAAGGAAGAAACCGGAAAGAAAAAAAAACTCAACCCAGGAATAAAAGCACTTTTAGGCACTGGAAATAAAGCTGGGTCAACTGGTCATGCATCCAGATCCTGCCACTTCACTCACAAATCTGGTAGCCCTTAGCTGTGTCAGAGCGAGAATGCCACCTCTTGTCCTCAGAGTTTCCTCTGCCCACTCTGGAGACGGTTCCTAGCTTCAGGACTTCAAGCTTGGCCGCAATCTGGGGCCAGGTCCGGGACGCGCAAACCCCTCTGCCTGCCCGCCCTGGCTCTGCGCCGCGATCTCCCGCAGTTCCGCGTCTGCGCACGGCCGAGGGGCAGGAGCTGGGCCGGCCGGGGAGGTACAGGGCGCCGCGGGAGCCAATGGGCGCGCAGGGGGGAGCCGGGCTGGCTGCGGCGGCCGGTGGGGCTCGCACTGCCGGGATGGACGGCGAGCGCCTGGCGTCGGGTTCCTCGGAGCTGGCGGTCGGTGAGAGCCCGCGGGGCGGCGCCCCGATCCCGGATGGCAGCGGTTCCTGCAGCCTGCTGCAGGCCGACGTGCTGGATCTGGACGAGGACGAGGACGACTTGGAGGTGTTCAGTAAGGTGAGGGCAGGGGCCGTAGCCGCGGACGCGGCAGGGGCGGCGCGTCCAGGGAAAGTTCCAGGGTGACTCAACTCCCCGACGGATTTGGAGCTGGAGACGGTACACCCAGCCCGAACCAGCCGCTCCCTCCTCCGCACTTTGACCTTCCCCTCTAGAGGCAGGGCCAAGGCTTATGGAGTGTTAACAGTTCTGATATTTTTGCCCCTTACTCTTTCCATTTTCCCTTCCTTGACAGGGACATCCCATATCATGCATGGGCGGGTAGCATGAAAGGAAAGGGCTCCTCCTCCTCCAGGCTTCTCTCCTGAAGTCTTGGAAACAGATTGCTTTACTGCAGGGAAGTGATTTGAGTTTACTGTTATGTGTGAATGGGAGCATTGTGTCCCACCCTAGGAGGGTCTGGAAACCTGTGACCACTGGGTGTAGAAATCTTTTCATGAGAACACCTGGCCTCCACTCCTGGCGGAACTGAAGAAGTTTTTTTTTTTTTGGGGGGGGAGCAATTAACTAGGCTCCTAACCCCATTTGTAGCCTGCATATTCCTTCCCAATTGCTTGGAAATCTAGCCTCAGAGGCACTCCCTGGCTAGAGTTGTACTTGGACAGAATGGACTTTTGGACATTAGTGGTTGAATTGGGTGCCTGTGGCCTGAAACTTGAACTTTCTGAAAGTTTGAAACAGAAATACCCTTCTTGTGGCCCAATCCAGCGTCACAGCAGTTTCTCAAAGGGGCCACTAACAGAAGCCTGGAGCTCAATGGGAGCATGGGAGCATGTTATCAATGACTGAGGCGGCTGTGATGTTAAAACGGCACACCTACATAACTGTCAAACAGAAGTTACCAAGTAACCAGCGCACTTGGACTCCAGCACTGAACTCACAAACTTCATGTTGAACTCCTTAGAGCCTATGGGGTTCACCCGGTTGCATTCTCTGTTGACTTTGTATCACAGTTCCGTGTGCTTAGCTTTCCTATTTATTTAAATTCTAAAATTGGAATTGTTTGAAGCTTAGTTTCAATACTGCTTTAAAATTTTATTTTATTTTTACTTGTGTGTGTGTGTGTGTGTATGTGTATGTGTGTGTGTGTGTGTGTGTGTGTGTGTGTGTGTGTGTGTGTGTGTGTGGTATGCAGGTGCTTGTCAGACCACCGCCTTCATTCTGCCCTCTCCTTATTCCATGTGGGCTCTGGAGCATTGAACCTAGGTCACCAGGCCCTGCAGCAAGCAACTCTGTGTACTGAGCCATCCAATGGCCCAATACTGCATTCCCACCCCATTATACACATACTTTGTTCAGATCAGTGTGGAACTTCCAGAATTGAGGGAGAGGTGCTGAGATTGGATTGGAGGTTGTATATCAAAATCATCTGGAATTGCTAAAAACTCTTCAGGTAGCCTCTTCCCCTAGATTCTGTACCCTAAGCCTTCCCAGGGAATGCCTGTCTCAGTGAGTCCCTGTGGTCTGAGATGGAGGAGCTGTTTATTTGCTTGGGTCTATGGGAATGCTGGGATTGATGGAGTTATAGGTGGTGTAGGCGAGAAGAAAATGACAGGTTGCAGCCAGAAGCCGTGTGAATGGGCATTCCTACTAAATTGCCTAAAGTACTATCAGAGTAAGGGATTCCATTCATCTGCTGGAATTTCTTTTTAAATGTTATTACTGGGAGTCTTACTCTCCTCATTATGCTGTCCTTGTGACTTTGTATTCTGTCAAAAAAGATGGGTGAGCCGTAATTGTATGTTTCAGGTCTGTACACCTGCACCAATCCTACTTGCTGCTACATAACTTCATGTACTTGCTGCCTAGAGAAAGTTAAGAATTATGCACTTAGAAGATGAAAAGTAAGTGTGTAATACTGGTTAAAGTCTAAAGAAAGTACCATCCTGAAAAAACATTTAGTTGCTTCCATGCTAATTCCAAGGGGTTAAAACTTTCAACCATTAACCACAATTAGACAAGCAAAATTATGAAAGTCTCCATTGGCCTCATTCTCTCCAACATTCCTCTTCAGCCTCTCTTTGGAGCTCTGTTACTGTCCTGTCTACTCCGGAATGGGGTCTGCCCAGCACTTGTGAGAGCAACTTTTAGTGCCCTTCACTTTTTCAAGATTGGTAACGTTTCTCCTTAGACTGTGAATGTATAGCTGGTGTCCCTTTCAGAATCCACAAAGAGTAAGAACTCTGACGGGCTAAAACATTTTGTTCTAGAAAGACATGTTTTTCCTCCTCCTAGGAAAAGCATGCAATATCTGTTTCTTCCTATCATAGTCTTGAAGCCTAGATGGCAAGATAGGACAAACACTAAGTGGCAACATACACCAGGGGGAATGGAAAGAAAAACTAAGTGGGGACCATTGAGTTTTGAAAAATTTACCAAGGAGTAATTGATGCCATGTTTGAAAAAGAAACATTGGAAACACAGCAAACACAGCAGGTATTGATTTTTAAAAGTAACTGCAGGTGTTGGAAAAGAGATCAGAGAGCGTAACCAACAACACAAGGAAATAAAGTAAAAACTTTGCAAATGACTGCAATCATGTAAAAACGTCTTAGCACTTGGCTGAGAGCAATATTAGTGAAAAGAAAAGAGGCCAATTCTCTGCTTTCTCTTGTATACATAGACCTGGGTTATATGTGTGTGCTGTCTGTGTATTCATGTTTACATGTGCATGTGCACATGGGGGCCTGAGGTTGACATCAGGTGTCTTCCTTTTTCATTCTCCACCATGTACATTGAAGCGAGGTCACTCACTGAGCCCAGAGCTAGCAGCTGCACATTCAGCTTGCTTCAGTGAGTCCTTTTCTCTGTCTCTCATGTTGGAATTCACAGGCAGGCATTGCCAGCCCAACCCAGCTCTTTTGGTTCTGGTTTCAGAACTCTAGTACTCACATTGTGGAGCAAGCACTTTACTAGATGAGCCACCACGACAGCTCAAATTCTCTACTTTTAGAGGGAAAATTCACCATTGTTTTGAAAATTATAGTACACATGAACTACCCATATTTTTATTATACACTATCACATTTAGTTTTTTTAGAGGTGTAACTTGTACCTCCAAATACAATTAGGTAAATATATTCTTACAAAAATAATAGACTGGGACTGTAGAGATGTCTCAGTGGTTAAGAGCACTTGGTGCTCTTGCAGAGGACCTGAGGTCAGTTCCTAGCACCTATGTGGGGCAGCTCACAACCACCTGTAACTCCAGGGGATCCTGGTCTCCATGGGCACTTCCACACATACCCATGCACAGACACACATATGTTCCTATGAATTAAGAATAAAATAAGTCCTTAGAAATGGACCATAGAGAGTTTCTGAAAGCTAAGGGCCAGGGGTAGTCTTGTTTTTAATCTTTAGCAAGGTCATGGATTCTATCAGTTTGTGTTTTGTTTGTAAATGTCGGAAAGAAAGAGATGATTAGTGGAAGCCAATATGTCTTATATGAATATGGAAATGGTAAGATAATTTATGAAGTTTATATTGAGGTTTGAGTTTGAAGAAAAACACATTCTTATAGAAGAGGTTATTCGTGAAATATAATAGGTTACATATTAAGATAGTCAGCCTTTTCATTACTACTCTAGAATACCTAAGGCTAAATCACTTTATGAATAAAAAAATTTACTTGCCACAGGGAGCTAGAGGCTCGGGCATGATATGATAATCAGCTCAGTTGTAGAGAAGACCTCCTGTGAATGGCATCACATGGATGGAGTCCAGGGGAAGAAAGGAACTGTCATATTATCAGACAGGAAGTCAGAAGGACCTGGAGAGTCCCCAGTCTTATTTCATATTAAAGACCCTCTTGAAAGAATCAAGTCAGGGTCCCATCAGTTCTTCTTTAAACCCGAGGATCTCCCAGTCGATCCAACATTCTATGGGTTTCACGACCCCCAGTAAGCACACACTGACAAAAAGTTCCTCATACTGTTTTAAACCATAGCAGTGATAGGAGACATACTATAATTATCAGCAAATCTATCAAGTATTTGGAAGATATTCAAAATACATACATACCTATGAAAATCTATATATTTCATGTTTGTTTCCCCAATCTTTGTCTTGTGTTAGATGCTCTGTCAGTCATTACCCTGCTAAAACTCAGAATTTTTTAAAACGTTAAATGAGCTATTAATGCAGGAATTATTTATAGCACATGTAGTCCAGTGAAGCACATAAAATCTGATATTAGCAAAAAGCCATTAGCATTTTTCTGCTTGAAAGGGATGAGGTATAGAAACTGTTGAAGGCTGGAGTTGTGGGAAAAGGGCCAACGAAATTTACAAAGTGACACAGCTACTGCCACCAGGGTTGTAGCAAAGTAGGGAGACAACATGCAGCATGCCCTCCAAGTTCCCCTTTACCTTCCTTGGATAGTGTGTTCAAGTTTCCCCCAAGGAAGCTGCCAAGTAACATCATCATCGGGACGAGCCTTCTAACATACAGCTTATAGGTCAATGGAGCCTGAGGCTGAAAATGAAGGATGACTTGCTTGGACCATACATAGTACAACAGGTAGAGAGCAGCTTCAGATCACTTTGTGTCTCCCTTATCACATGCTTGTCTGTGATGCAACCTGCCATCATTATCAAGCAATGGGCTCTATGCCTCTCTCCAGGAATCTGGAGGTGGGGAGAGTGTGAGCATATTGACCATTAGCAAGTGGTGCTGCACTGGTTCCAAGGCCAGTTCAAAAAGGAACCACAGAGTCCTCTTTGTCCATTGAGGCACTTTCTGATTTTCAAATCCATCCTGTTAGAACCACACGATAAGGCCTCCAATTGATGAGGTTACAGTGAAGTCATTATAAGTGAAAATATACCCAAGGTATAATCTTAGTGGTTTGGACCAAAGACAGTCTCCATTGCTGTTATTTGAAATCCTGCCTCCACTGATTAGAAAATTAGAAAATTGTTTCTCTTTGGATGGCCATCTGATAGCAATGACTCAGATGAGGAGAAACAGTAAACATGAGGATTTAATAAATGTCTCTG